CCTATGAGTGGTGATGATGGGGTTGGTGGAGTGGGCTTAGTGGATCAACACTGTTTTTAGATACAGAATGTCAGGAAATGAGTCTTTTTTCCAAATAAATCCATGGGGATGAATAAATAAGCTTTCTTATGTTCAAAAGAACATTTGATTTATGATTTGAAAAATGACAAGACCACTTAAGTACTAAGCTGCTACTGATCTCTAAGCTAATTTTAGCTAACAGTGGTCATCATGTGTACAGGAAGAAAAAGATGTCCAGTAATGTAAACTGCACTGCAGCTTGGTGGCCAGGTTATGGTGGCTTAGATTCACAAGTCTGAGAGAATGACTTAGTGTATTGTAGCTAGAATGCTGCCATTCAACCATTGGAGAGAAGGACTGCACAAAATAAAAATTACACCCACAAGTACACATGATTTGAGCACAGCATGTAAGAATTCATATTTCTTATTCTTATATGAATGTGCTATAACACATCTTTTAGGAATACATATCTCTTAAAACATTTTTCTAATCAGTCCTGGTCCTATTGTAGAATGCACAGTCCAGATGTACTTGAGGACTGCTAGATATTTAGTACACAAAAAATGTTTCTGGAATATAAGTCTTATGCATGGAGTATTAGCAGAACAGATGTTTCCAACACATTCTGCTTTCTAACACATAACTGTATGTGAAATGAATGCTTGACAAATTTTAAAATATGTATTACAGGTGACAGCAAATTTTGAATAACTAGAAATGCCAATATTTCAGCATCTGTTGGTCTGTCAAAGGGAACATGAGCTCTTCTGTTTTGAGGAGGAAGCATTAAGTCATATAATGCTTTCTTAAAATGATTAAATGTTCAACAGTTCCATAAAAACAATTTCATGTTCATCTTCCTCTTGGTAAATGAAAATCTACAGAAAATTTCCTTCCGAATGTCATACAGCACAGTGAAAATTTATTGACTGTAAACAAGATTAAATATGCAATATTTTTACTCAAGTAAAAAAGGGATTGCAGTTATGATCCATTAATGAGAAACATGACCTAAAAGCTATGGTATACTTTGTTTGAGAGTTGTAGTGAAATCAATTTACTTCAACTTACAACTGTCACAGTGAACAGGGGTTGCACACACATAATGTGAGATAGTTTAATTCACTATGATTGAGACAGTGCACAATGGATAGTAGAGTCTAAATAGATCATGTACATGTTGTAAATGCCATATTTGATCAATTTAAGAGAATTATTAAGATAGTAAGTGAATAAAGTAAACTTTAAAAGAGATACACTCTAAAATGTTGTGTGGGTCAATCCAGCTTAGTAAATTATTGACCTGTGTCCTCTCAAAAAGAAAAGTGAGCTGTTTATTCTGATTAGCTATCATCGAAACTATTCAAACACAGCCTTGTAGGGGAAAACATCATTAGTACAACGTAGCTTTACAGAAAAGAAAGGATATCATAGATCATATTCCTGTGTCTTACTCAGGTGCTGGTGGGGTCACTTAATGAGATGCTTTTCATAGTGTCTAACACACCTTATCAGTAATGCATGGACTAGTATAACCTAAAATGTAGCAGTCTGGATATTTTCTGGGTATTTATAATCAATACAGGGCAATGTTTAAATGCATGAAAGGCAAAACTCTGAGACATTTTGTAAATGTACAATTACAGGAGATAAAAATAATGACTGGTTTATGGCTTTACCTACAGAAAATATCTTTTATTTATAGTTATAGTTAAATGTTACAAAATGTTAAAGAAAATATAGAATTCTTGTTACTGACATGCCAGTGTTTTGAGTCTACCTGGGAAAGGCACATTTTACTAGCAATCAGAATACTATAATCAATAAACAATTGCTTTCCCCTACTTTGAGTGGTGACAGAAAACTGGTGATAACATTTTCCTTGGGTGCATTTTATAATGTATTTAATTTCTCACCTTTGACCAAAACAACTAATTTCCATAAAAATGACCCATTCTGTTAACAAGTAGTAGCTAAAAGTTGGACAAATCATTTCACTTCAGGGCCTCAAATTAAGAAATGTCCATGAATTAAACTATGGATCACCGCTTATTAGTATGCTGCAACAATATTTTTTAGGAAACAAAATGGAATTGATTCAATTTGAAAATAGAAGAGGAAAATACTTATGGGAAAAGCTGGTTTAAAATTGTGGAATTTAGGGCCCGGCAGGAATGGCCAGCAGCTAAAGTCCTGGCCTTCCACGCGCCGGGATCCCATATGGGTGCCAGTTCTAATCCTGGCAGCTTCACTTCCCATGCAGCTCCCTGCTTGTGGCCTGGGAAAGCAGTGGAGGAAAGCCCAATGCTTTGGAATCCTGCACCCGTGTGGGAGACCTGGAGGAAGTTCCTGGATCCTGGCTCTGGATCAGCACAGCACCAGCCGTTGCACTCACTTGGGGAGTGAATCATTGGATGGAAGATCTTCCTCTCTATCTCTCCTCCTTTCTGTATATCTGACTTTGTAACCAAAAAAAAAAAAAAATTGGCGGGATTACGATGTATTCCTTAGCATTAGTTGTAAGCAAAAAAAGTTTGGAAAAAATGTTCTAAAGAATCATAAGTACATTCTATATCTGCAATGAAAAATCTTCTCTCTTTTAGTCTAAGAATTACAAAAGTGGCTTCTTTTAACCTAGAGTCCAGTGGCCTATTCCGTGATATGTAAACGAAGCTAACCATAAGGTTAACAACATACTGCAGCAGGGGCTTGGGAGATACACAATGAGCGGCATAAGCCATGCAACTGCTAGATCCAGAATCATTAGGAAAGCAATGACTATAAAAACAACACATCCTATATTAACCAAACAAGAGTTCATACGTGTACACACATAAAATGTAAGCATTAACTATCACCACTAATGATTTTTTCTTTCCAGACAGAAGTTGCATTTGCAAAATGAACAAGTGAATGTGGAAACAAGAGAGAAGGGCAAAGCACTTCCCGGGAAAGAACTGGGAGATGGGGTGTCTCCTCATAGGAGAGACACCCCTTTTTATTTTATAATCACTAATAAAATGATTTTAATCTACTTTATTTCATGAACTAACTTTTATTGTGTAGCACGTATTTCTCCAGATGACATGTGGCGAGGTTGAAACGACAGATTCTCTCAAGAAACTTAACTGGTAGTAGAAGGTACAGAAAGCATGCAAGGGAAATAAAAAAAAAAGCAAAAAAAGGTAAATAGTATCTGAAAGTCACAAATTAGGGAGTACTTTTCATTTGGACACATAAGAAAGCTTTACAAATCAGATATGTGACAAAAGATAATTACGAATCTAGAGAGGAAGATTCTAGGAAAAATGAACAGGTGGTAAACGCCAAACGCACAGCAGAAAAGAACTTGGCGCGCTATAGGCAAGAACGGCAAGGGTCTGGTGGAGAAATTAAGTGACGAAGGTGGATGGCAGTTGGTTTGAGCAGGGCCTTTAAAGCACAGGGAAGCATCTGCAGCAGTTTTCATTGCTATGGGGAGCCAGGTGAGAGCTTTAAACAAAGGGACTTCTGTGATCTGATTTTTTGAGAGCAGCAGGACTGCTGAATTCAAAGCAGACATTACACAGTAAGAATGAAACAAAGGTTGTTAAAAAGCATCTCGGTCATCCACTGGAAGATGGTTGCGAGTCAGATTACTTAAGCAGCAGTTGGGATACAAAGAAGTACATGAATTTGGGGGGTAGTTTTTGGAAGTGCAACGATAGAATTCTTTGAAAGGCCGGGTTTAGGCTGTGGAGGGACAACAGAGGGAATCAAGAATACTTTTTCTATAACTTACTTGCTTCAACTAAGTGAATTTAGAATTAGTTTCATCAACTGTGACAGGGAAGAGTGAGAGCAGGGGAGGAATGGCAGAAATCTGGAGTTTGTTTGGAATGTGCCACCTGGAGTGGCACTGCAGCCAGCCATCTAAGCAATGTCAAGCAGGCAGCACTCGGTGTGGAGACAACTGATGAACTCGGTAATGACCAGCATATACACAGAATTTTATAGACACGGGTCAGTGCCTTCAAGGAAGTGCCATAAAGCTGCTTCCTCTGCAGTATATTTTTGTTCTTGCATATATTTATTTGAAAGGCAAAGGTCATCTCCCACAGCCAGGATTGGGCCAGGTTAAAGCCTGGAGCCTGGAAATCTAGCTGCATTTCCCACCTGGGTAGTGGACCCTGAGTATTTCTGCCATCGCCTGCTTTCTCCCGTGTTGTGGTACAGGTGGTACTGGGGTAGGGAGGGAAGCTGGTACTGTTGGAAGTCAGGCACTTGAACATGGGATGCAGGTATCCGGAGCAACTTCATATTCTCGTGGCATCAAACGGTACATTCATGTTGCCAGCCTCCTTTTTGTCAGCGTGTCATTTGGACGTCCGGGGGTGACTGATAAGCACTGACACGCTGGCAAGGCTCATGCAAAGTCAAACCCGGAGCTGGAGGCTGACCGGGTAGTTATCAAGCCAGGAGCGTTAACTGGGGCGGTCAAAGCCTGCCCCATGAACAAGGGATATATACCCCGGGGATAAAGGCCAAAGGTAGTCTCCCACCTCTCTGCTCTAAAAATACTTCAAAAAAAAAAAATCGTGGAGTTCACTCACGGAGGCAGATATTAAAAAGCAAACCGTGAGCGAATTCCTTTGAAAGACCAAAAACTGCTGTAGCGACAGGCTATGAAGGCAACCAAGTACTCACACTGGGTAGTACGGAAACGATACACACATCTAAAGGGAAAGGAAAAATCCAACATTTGTTAAAATAATAATAATAATAATAAAGGATAAGGTAAGCACTAAACACCTCAGCTTACACCTGGGAATCCTCACGCACCGGGTGAGTCGCGTCACGGCAAGCACGCTCCGCCCCCTCCGGCGGGCCGCGTGCACGTGCGCGCTGGACACCGCCCCCTCCAGCATCTGGACCAATAAAAAGGGGCTTCGTCATCCTTCACCGCCCGGTCTCCGGTCACGTGACGGCGTCTCCCCGCCCTCTCGCTCCGCCGCCTCTAGGTTTTGGGAAGATGGCGAAGATCTCAGAGCTTTACGATGTCACTTGGGAAGGTAACTTCGGGCGGGGCGGGTGTGGAAAGACCGAAAGTCCGACGACTTCCTCGGGAATACCCGCTGCCTTCCGGGGGCTGGACGCTTCGGTTCCTCGTCGGTACCGGCGCTCCCTTTGCGCGGGCCGAGCCGAGGTGGAGGTGCAGGCTGACTCCTTCCTTGGTCCGGACCCGAACTCAGTGGCGTTTGCCACCACGTTCGCTCAGCGGTGGACCGAGGGCGCCGCTTCCGCGCAGTCTCACCGCTCCAGGCGGCTTCCGTGTCTGAGGCGGGAGGGACCGGTGCCGGGGCTGTCGCGCGGAGGAGCGATAGGTGGTTGCTGAAGCCTCTTTGCAGTCAAGGAAATGCACGGACTTGTAAGGCCTTGCAACGACTGCCCAGTAAGGTTCACATCTCATGCAGAGAACCTGTGCAATACAGAAGGGCCGGGAACATTCTCCCATGTGCCGCTTTCCGTATTCTTCTCTTGAAATCCAGGCTTATAATTTCTCCCCTTTTCGTTTACTCTCTGGCCCACTCCCCTTTAAATTACATTTATGCATAGAACACAGCTTCCTTTTTACTCCCTGCCAATAATTCCTTTCCTGGAATAAAGCGAGCTGATTAACTCTGGGACATGAGTGACAGACTAAAGTGAGTCCTTTATGTTAAGAAGCAGACAAATCTTTGGGTGCAAGAACTTTATTCAGAAGCTTTACTGATAGGCATGCTTAAAGAGAATGAGTTTCATTAAGAAATAGAATTTGCGTAGTTGAAATGTATGTACCTGGCATAAATATGTCTGCATAAATATGTTACAGTACACTTCAGTAGCTAATTTGTGAATGCCCCACTAGGCTGTTTAAATGACGACTTGATAACTAATGGACTGAAATTTGTGTTTGGTTATACAGTTTAAATGGAGTGTTAGAAAGGTGTAAACAGGTGAAAGGCAAAATTTCTTTTTATTGAGCTTAATTCATAATTTATTAGTTTGGTGAACTGTAGCTCACCAAATCTTGGTGTTCTGATCTGTATTGGGGAAGTCTCTTAGAAGTACTAACTTCTTGGTGCTAGATCATGCATATATCAAGTTAAGTACCATACAGTCCTTGCCTTGAAGAGCTCATCATGCAATAAGAAGAACTGTATATGTTAAGTGTTTTTTTTTTTTAAAGAGATCTATTTACAAAGAGAAGGAGAGACAGCAAGAAAGATCTTCCATCCAGTGGTTTACTCCCCAAATGGTCACATAAGGCTGGAGCTGAGCCATTCTGAAGCCAGGAGCATCTTCTGGGTCTCCCAAACAGGTGCAGCGTCCCAAGGCTTGGGCCATCTGCGTTCCCAGGACACAGGCAGGGAGCTGAATTGGAGCAGTCAGGTCACGAACCAGCATTCATATGAGATGCCAGTGTTTGCAAGCTGAGGGTTAGCCAATTGAACCATTGCACCCATCCTGTGTCCATTAGCTTTTAATGCTTTTTAAAATATCTGCAGTATTTCATAATCCATGGTGCTGTTATGAAAATAGGTTGAATTAGCACTAGTAACATAAATAGAATCATGAGGGATGAGTAGGTATGTAACCACCATCAGGCAAGATGCTTTGACTAAGTCAGTGGGACATTACCTTACTCTGTCATTCATGATGCAGTTAGATTTGGAAGAGAAAATGACATCTACTTTGCCAGTCTGTTGAGGAGCAGAAGAGCCTGTGTTACAGCAGATGTAAGCTGTTGAGTACTATATGAAAGGGGGTGATGCTTTCCTTAATGTGGTTATGCTCCTGCTGTGTGTTGTGGCCTTCGTGTCTTCAGCCTCAGTTGTAGCTGTTTCCTTCGCTGTGTGAGCTAGCTCTGCTGGTCTCTGTGGAGTTACCTGCGTTGCAGGCTCTTCCCTGGCTTGGTGCTCCTCACGTGCTGTTGCTTTGATCAGTAGTAAGCTTTGCTCCTGCCACGCTCTTGCCCTCATTAAATTTTATCTCCGAAAATTTTCGAAGATCACATACTTCAAAGAGCTCTTCGTGTCTACTCCTCCAACCCCTCACCAGAATGTTTATTGCACATTTAGTTGAAAGGCAGTGCTGATCCACCCCCCAAATGGCCACAGTGACCAGGTTTGGGCCATGCTGAGGACAGGAAAAAGAAACTTCATCATGGTCTGAGGGGACAGGGACAGGAAACTGCATCCATCATTGATGGCAGGACCCAGGGACTTAGCCATCATCTGTAGCCCTTGCAGGTTCCAGTGCAGGAAAATGGATTATAAACAGAGGAGCCAGTACTTTTTAAAAAAGTGTACATGTGTGTATATTTATTTATTTGTATCGGAAAGACAGATTAGCAGAGAGAAGGAGGTACAGAGAGAAAGATCTTCTATCTGCTTGTTCACTCCCCTAATAGCTGTAGCAACCTGAGCTGAACTGGTCTGAAGCCAGGAGCCAGTAGCCCCAGGTGCATCTTCCAGGGAGGTGAAGGGTCCCACATTTTTGGACCATCCTGTACTGCTTTCCCAGGTCACAGGCGAAGAGCTCTATGGGAAGTGGAGCAGCTGGGACATGAACCGACACCCATGTGAGATCCAGGCACTTGCGAGGGACAGGGGTAAAATGGGGAATATTAGCCAATGGCACCATTGTGCAGGTCATAAGCAGAACTGTTTATAGGCACTCCCATATGGGGTGGCAGTATTGAAAGCAGTGACTAACTTGCTGTGCCATAATGACTGAATATGTTGTTAGGTTAATAGTGAAAATGAAGAAATTGTCAGAAATAGTTGTGAATCTTTTTCTGGGGTTGAATAGTTTATTGGATAAACTTAAGTAACTCATTTAACTAGCACCATGGTTTTCTTATTTGTAAATTGAATGTTTAGACCTTTTCAGAGTTAAAGTTCTATTTGAAGTTACACTGAGACAAAGCATATTGGAAATTTTTATTTCAAAGGCTAGTGATAACATGTCTGTAAGGCATAGCATGGCATTGGGAGGACTCTTCAGGATAGGGATTTCAGAGCTCTATCCTTAGGGATTCCATTGAACATTATCATGATTTTGTTAATCCAAGGGGTAACGTGATTCCTATGGTAAGAAAATTGATCACCGTTCTAAAAGATGTATGTTAGGCTATATTAAAAAGGGGGGATAGAATGTAGAGTATATATATTTAGCTGATTGAAGGTTTTGGATGTTATAGCAAATGTGTGATATAGGAGTTTGTAGGTAGAAAAGAGACTTGGAGTTGCAAGAAGAGTATAATCAGATTTCTTGAGAATGTGGCATTCAGGTAAGATGGACAGGAAACTCACCTAGGACTGAGTGTGACATGTGTGTTGGAGAGAATGGTTGTTCATGGTCACTGCTCCTTCCCCTCCTCAGTGCTTTAAGCAACCTCTGTTTGATTTCCATAGTCTTGTTCCACTTTGGTCTCTGGGGACTGATGTGGGTGCCTTATGCATCTGTACTACCTTTGCTATTGTGGGTCAGTCACTCTGAAAAACTCTTCCTTGGTTTCTTGCAGGTTCTCCATTTTCAGATTCTGCTGAATTCTCTATTTCATGATAGTTGTTTCCTTAGCCATTTCCTTTTTATCTCTTTTCTTCTCTCTTCTCTTTTTTTTCTTTCACTCATTTGTTCATTATAGATTTATTTATTTATTTGAAAGAGTTACAGAGGCTAGAACTCTTCCATCTGCTGGTTCACTCCCCAAATGGCCAGAGCTGGGCCAGTGTGAAGCCAAGGGCCAGGAGCTTTTTCCCCTGTCTCCCTTGTGGGTTCAGGGACCCCAACACTCCTCTGTTGCTATCCTCTGCTGCTTTTCCTAAACACATTAGCAGGGAGCTGGATTGGAAGTGGGATGCTGGCATCTCAAGTAGCAGGCTGAGAAGGCTGTTGCTAGGCCACAACACCTACTGCCAGGCCTTCTCTTAAGCTAGCATCAGTGGCTGTTAAGTTTGAGATGCGTAAACCCCTAATGAAATTAAATGTGTATATAAACTTGCATTTTCTGGGGAAAGTTGTCTTAAAGATCTCATCAGTTCTGACAAAAATAAAGTTTGAGTGGTTTCTGTGATCATTGTCATCCACACTGAGCTTTGACTGTATATTATTAACACATTAATTAAAGCTGTATGGGAATACTTTGCAACAGACACTGTTCCATTCTTGAGGAGACAATGCTGAATAAAAAAAAGGTGGTTCTGAACAGCAGATATGTGTTTCTGGTTATCTACAGGGCACTTCTACTAGATGTTCAACAATGAGCAAAACTTGAAATTGGGGTCATGATCTTTCTTCTGCTTAATGTCTCCAATTGCTGCATTCCCTAGACAAGCAGATGGCACTGTGTCTTGGAGTTGATTCTAACTGGCTGGTGTTTAAGGGAATGTGTACTGAACTAATTAACTCACCTGTCATATTTCAGTTTACACACAGAGCTCTCAGTCCTTCCTTGGATGAGAGGGTACATGCTCAGGATAAATGCTTGGTTGCTTAAAGAGTAAAAGCTTAGATTGTTGTTTTTGAAGTTCATTCTAGTGGTATCTGTAGTACTAATAATAAATAATGGAAATAGCTTAGAAGATATTTGGTATACATCATTTAATCCTTTTTTGACATGATTTTTATTCGTGTTTTGATGGCGGGGAAGTAAACTAGAGACGTGGTTTGCCCAGTGTAACACAACTGGTGAAAGAGGTGATGTTCTCACCATTGTCCTCTACTCAGTTACTGCTGGGCATGCTCATTTAACCAGGCTGTTGTACTGTTATTCTGGCACATGCCAAGTTAGAACTTAGATGTGCTCATTAAGACTGACTCCATTTTTCTGATGTGCTTAAAAACCGTCTTCCCACAGAAGCCCACTTTAACCACCGTTTCCAAAGACTCCTCTTTCTCAACAATCCCTTGACCTAATTAACCATTCTTTATTTTCCATAAGAATCATAATTTATCAGTTTATAATGGCTTATTATTGTCCTACCATATAATAATGGCAACAGTTTGAGTTCTAGGAGTTTATTTT